ATTTGTTGACAAAATGTGAATGCATTACTGATTTTTGAAGACTATCGTATTTCCATAGGAAGAAAAATAAAATCATACTAAAAAGACTACAAAATATCAAGGCTGGGAGATCTCACATCCTTATAATGGTTAAACTAACTAATGCTTACTTTTTGCATAGCGGCCTGGCCCACACCTGTTGAGGTTTTTGGTCCACCATGGTGCGGTCCTGTTGCCGGACTTTCTCGGACCAGGATCTGACATCTTTTGAGTTCCTTGCTTTTTTTGAATCTTTTTTTCTTGTTTCTTATTTGTTTTCGTTTGACTTGATGTATATTGGACATTATTATTGTAGACTGTGACTTTCTCAGCTCATTTAGGGCCTTGCTTATATACAAGTTGAGGGTCCGGCCTTAACCCACCCTCCTTTCGGGGTGTTGTTCTGTTAAAAGAAAAACTAACTAATGCTTACTGTATCTCACACTTCCTCACACACACACACACACACCAGCTCCAAAGGACCAAAGGATCAGACAATTTTCAGAGTTCAAACTCTAACCAATGGAAAAAAGAATCAAATACTAAAAAACTAAACCTCAGATTTATCAGCAGAGGAATCTTCAACATCCTCATCATCAGGCATCATGTTGAGGTCAAAATCCCTCACAACTATCCCTTTGTCTTTAATATTGCCACCATTATTATCATCACACTTGAGTTGAGCTTGTTTCTGTTCATCATTCTTTCTCGCTTTACAGTTCGGAGTCTTTTCCTGGGGAGTAGTAACCCGATCGACAGCGTTCACAATGTTGATCTTGAACTTGTTGTGGCTTGATTTGTGGCCACCCAGTGCCTGGTGGGAAGAGAAGACTTTACTGCATATGCTGCATCCATATTTATCTGGGCTTGAATGGGACAAACAACTGTCCTTTTGCTTGACCGTGATCGGTTTGGGCTTAGCCGGCACATTGTCAAGAATGGGTAACTTCTTGAAATCAAAGCTCTGATTGTGATGATCTTCTTGTGTACCGATGGGCGTGAAAAAGAGGTCGTTTTCGAATTCAGTGCTGTTAGGGTTTTCGGGCCCAGAT